TGCTCTTCTCAGTCTGCTAAACACACCAGTGTTACCCAACATCTATAGCTATTCAGTATTGTAACCAGACAGCACCCATTACCTCTCCATAAAGTCAGTTATTAAGTCTCTGAAAGCTAGACTTGACAGAACTAAGGAAAACTTTACCGTGAATGGGAAGAAACTGTGAATGGAAAGAAAATATGAAACACTAAAAAAACAAAGTCATTATTATACTAGAACTCTGTTTTCCAGAAACTCTGAGGGCAAGAAAAAAACCTGAGTCTTTAGGATGAGATAAACAACACTGATGGGCCTTTTTGCTTCTGTCTCCTTTTGTCTCCCGTCCTGCTATGTGAAGCAGAGGCAGGAAAGATCCAAATGGCCACAGGTTGTCCCATGAAACTACCTCAGCAAGCTCAACTTGAAAAGTTTAGACTGATGTAACTTTGACCTGTTGGAAATCCTTATCTTAGGCATTAAAAAACCCCCTTGGATTCCATCTAAACCACGTCTCTGGGATACAAACTTCACCCAGATTTTGTAACACGCACAGCACACAATACAATCTTATGACATTATTCTACTGACCACTCTTACATCCTAACCCAAAAAGCCAACTCTTACATTATATTCATATGCTTATCTCAGATTAGAACTGTTTGCTTAGTTATGATCTACTCAATTCATATGCCTTTAAAGAAATGCTGCTTCCTCAAAATAAGCTGTTGGATAAATGGCACAATTTCAAAAGCCAAGGAAAACTGCAAACAGTAGATCTGACTACTAACTAGGGAAAGGTCACAGGCTGTGGGAAATCAGTAGAAACCAGGCTACTAGGGACACAAAGACAGGCAAACTTTCTTTTAAATTATTTTAGCTGCATTGCTACGGAATTGTGGGATGCAGGTTTTTTTCTCTCTATTTCCACGTTTTCAAAACAGCTCAGGAATTACTATGCAATAATTACAGGGGAAAAAACATAAATTCTTTAGCCCTAGTTAAGATTAGCAATGTCTCAGAAAAAAAAAATTAATCTGTAAAATAAAAAGCATTTCTTAAAGTCTATCGGTAAATAAGAAACTGCTACCCTTGTCAGCCTCTGAACTTGGACTATCTAAAACTAAGAAGCCTCCCAAAAGATGTTATGAAAAATCTACAATATCACTACTATTTTCTAGCACAGTCACGCATCAAGTTTTCTTTAACGCTATCATCCCAATCAATGATATAAACTAAAACTATAAACAAACTCGAAGTATTTAACAATTACAAAACTCCCTAATATTCTACTGTTGTATTTTGCGAACTTCTAACATTGAGTACTTACGACAGGAGTCGGTCAAGTTTCGGTCCATTACGCCCCTGAAGGACGGCAGGTGGCTTGTATACCTTCATTATTCCTTACAATCTATACGCTTTCTCTATTTCTGGGGTTCCTGGACTCCTTATTTATGAAGCAGCGATGATTTTGAAGTTATTTATAAACATTAACTCATTAAATTCCCTAGTGTCATATTAGATACCAACTCAGTGACTCATATTCCTGACAATATATTTATCGTGGCTGGAAGAGAAGGTAAATTTACATGCACGAGTAGCACACAGAGGCACGCAATGAACTAATCTTATATTTTAAAATGGTATTTGACATTAAGTAACTCTGAAGTTATTAACAAATATGTATGTCAACTGAAGTTGGCTCATTATCAAACAGTGGATTTTATAAACACTGCCTGACTACCACTCTGACAAAGTGAAAAATAACCCATATAAGAAAAAAATCCCTTCATTTCTGAGGATCGAAAATGGAAGCTAGAGTGTTTAAAAGCTTGTTATTACTGTACTTAAATGAGTGCAGGTTAATGAAAATTAGTTATCTTCAAGTACTCCCTGAAAGGGAAAACATACACCATATGTTAAGGTTTCTTAAAAGAAAGTAACAAAGTTATCAATTCACCAGACAAAATGATTTCATTGTCCGCCTTATGTGTAATCTTGGCCTCATGAAAACCTCAGTGTTTTAGATTGTACATCTGGTCTTAGTGACTTTACAGATTGTCATCACTGCACAGTGAACAATGCAAATATTCAAGTAACAAGCTCTGCAGCAAAACAAAGTAATATTACTACTTGAGCACTTTTACTCAAAATGTAAGGCATCTAAATCCTTTCTAAAATAGAGAAAAATCTCTGAACCAAAATAATACACTTTTGTTGACAATGATCTCAGTTCCCAATTTCCCCAAGATTCTTGAACACCAGTTATAAAAGTAAAGGAAAACATCAGGTCAGTTGAAAAGCTCTCTTTAATATGCCATTCTTCACCAGTCACTCCTTTGGTAAAACATTTCTGAGGAAATGTTTCTATTTGTGCCCAGGAAAACCCTGAAGCTACAAGCCACATAATTTAACTTTGAAATTGGTCCTCCTCTGAGCAGAGGGTTGGACTAGATGACCTCCACAGGGTCCCTTTCTCACATTTTATTTTTATGTAAGCAGATTTTTTTTTTTCCCCTCAGGCTTAAAATAATTTAAAAAATATTTTCCTGAACTACTTTAACATGAGAGTCAGTCAAACATTACTGAATTGGGTACACTTAAAGGGAGGGATATGAGACCACCACTTAAAGACAACTAGTATCAAGCCACATCTTAAACTATACCTCCACCCCACAGACACACGTTTCACAAGCAACAGACTTAGCCAAGCCTGCCTTTCTACTGATCCATCACAAACCCCGTGTTCCTTCCTACACAGTAACATTTAGTCCCTTCTCTCGCATTCCCTGTAGCATTCTTACTGCTCCCCACAGAATTCAGTTCTGCCCACACTGCCTTTACCCTTTACTGAGACTGGAAATGTCATTTGTAGATATGTTAAAAGATATACCTAAACCTTTTCTTCCCAACTATTTACTACTATCTACATTATGGTAGGTAAGACTACTGTTATTACAGTCTGAAAGCTTAAAGACAGCTACTACAGAAGTGAAGTTCTAGCTTAGAGTTAATTGAACTGTATTATAGCCATATAGTTACAGTAGCAAAGAGACTGGAGAAGCATTTGTGAAGTGTTTTAACAAAATTACATGTTCTTCTTAGGCTTAATGACACAACAGCAATAGTCTTTCCACAGACAATCTGGCTAGCAACACAAGTAAACACTCATTCCAGTTGTCTATCCTTTTTTATGGGAAAAACAAATCAAAACCAGGACCAGACTTCAAAGAGGACATTATATTAGATGAAAACAAGCAGAGCACACTGATTGAATGAGAAAGTGAAGCCATAAGAATGCCATCTGATAATATGTCCTTTACACACAAAAAATTTCAAGAGGGACTTTCAGAACTCTTAATATGGGGCAGAACTTTTTTCCTAGAGACGTCTATCTACAATGCTTCCCTGAAAAGTATTTCAGCATTATAAATTTCAATTCATACAGCCTTCTAAAGGAACAGACAGAAAATAAGAATATTAAAAGCCATTACTGTAGAACAGAAAAAATACCAAAAGAAAAAAGATTTTAAAAAGTCTGTCAAAAAGGAAGTGATATAAAAGACCTTTATCATGACAGCAGACTTGCACGTAAACACATCAAACAAACAGATTTGTAATGAGCTTCCTGCTATTTGTTTTTAAAAAAGGAAAGTTTTCAGATCCAGTGCTCCCTGCTCAGATTTAAGAAAATACTGCAGAAAAGAGATGGGACAAATATGACCAATTTTAATGTCAATACTTTGTTCAATACATCTAACTAGTTTGTGAAACATATGACTTATTCCCAAATTAGCAATCTGGTTCTGCTCACCTTTACTTAAACAAACTAAATGAAAAATATCAAAATAGAAAAAAAATTTTGGTGACAATTAGACCCAACATTAAATTATTTTTCCAGTGACCACTGAAAGCTATGAAGTGCATTTACACCATTAATCTGGACCGCTTCCTATTTATTCAAGGATCCTGTTCCCTGCATCTGTAGTGCATGTGACCTAAATTGCTTCCAGCATCCCTTCTGGAAGGGAACAGCTAATCTCCTGGGAATATTTTGATAATAAAATAATCCAGGATTGCTTGAGACAGCCCAAGGCCTTGCTTTTTTCACTTAACCCAGTCTGATAGCACTGTCCTAGAAGACTTTGCCATTTCATATACCCATATCCCAGACACTCAACCTACAGCACTAACCCATATTTTGCCATGCAACAAAAGCAGGAATATGGCAGCTAGAAAGTTTGTTCCCAGACCTTGGGCGCATCATTGATACATAGCAATTATTAAAAGGACCTGAAAAAAAAAAAAACCCATATGTTAAAAACGCTATGGGTCTGAAAAATATCCCACAGGGCATGGGACAGAGTACTGTGGCTTCACATGGAAGAGAACAGCTTAGCTAGGACGAGTGTCGACTGGTCGGGGGATCAGCAACTACTTGAGGACAGCACAGATATAACCAGTATTGCTACAGCTGGAAGTTAAACTACTAAAGGTTCCATAAATGTATACAGTAAAAGCAGAAAATGAAGGTTTCTTTGCTAAAGATACAGCATAAAGGTGAAATAGCTCTCCAATACAATATTTTGATCTAGTGCATCCACATTCAGGAAGAAAAATTGTCATTTTCCATGATGATTTAATTCTTTACTTCTAAAGGTTAAAACTTCCTTCCTTGCTTCCTGCTTTCTTCTTTATAAGCGTGTCAAAAACTGAAGAGACAACAATCACTGGAAAATTAATTAGTCTGGTTGAAAATGACAGCAGTGAAATCTTCCAAGGCTTCCCATCTGATCTTCAGCTCTTTCATGACAGGACAATAGCATTTGCGTTGTTTGAATGGGTGGAAATCACGAACAAGGGATCTAGCTACAATCGAAGTATTTACACAGGAAAACTGCAAGCATACAAATGCTGCCCTATTGCAAGAGAGTAATTGTAAGTCCTTAACATTTAATTTCTCATTAGTGAGGAGTTACTACATTCTTTAATTGAACAGCTGTTCACTTATAATATTGTACCTTCTCTGGATTTCCAATTCTTCTTGTGATGGACCATTTTGTACTTGAGACGGAAGCTGTGAATTCTGTCGAGGCAATGTAGGACCTAAAAGTGAAGACAGACCATGAATTAATGATTTGAACTTTCACTTTGCAAAAAAGAACAAAATCAAGGAAAAAGGCCAGCCATCACATGATATTATAGGAACTGTTTACTTCTGCTTTTTAAGCCAAACAAGCTCCACAACATAATACAGCAAATAAAAACTGCAACAGATGTTACCTTATATATTGGCAGAATGGAATTATTTCACATGGATGAAAAAAGTTCACAGAAATGCAAAATAAATTTTATATATAATGGGACTTAGCAAAAACTTTGAAAAGCACTCCAAGTCTGAGATTTTCTTAAAACAATGAACAAGTACTTTTGCAGAAACAGAAAAGGCTCAGAAAATTAAAACACTCACCTAAATAGAACACTGGAAAAGAAAAAAAAAAGAAAAAAAGAAGAGGAGAAAAAAAAAACAAACATCAGAACCTTATCACCATATCAGGAGAAGGAAGATAAAGTATGTTTCTACAGGTGACACCAAAATTTACTCAGATTTTAGCTCATTGACTTGGATCAAAGACCATCCTTTGTGGACAGGCAAGCGTTGTGTCCAAAGGAACAGAGGCATACAGTGAATGTACGAACTGTGCATTCTGCTAAGCACAAGAAATGCAAAAGAGAAGGACATGCAAATTCATCTTTGACTTTTGCTGATGGGCAATTCTGAGTCATACATCTTTCAAATAATTGTATATGCTAGATCTGTCTTCTAAAAACAAAAAGGCTTTTCCACTTTCCTCATGAATATATTTACAGCACAAAATTATTAAAAAATAATTAACAGAAGGGAAGAATGAGAAGTGTGGAATAGAATACAGTAGATCATGAATGCACTGTTTCTGTAAAAATGAACAGTAAACTGTGAAATTATTTAGACCATAGCTACACTTGAAATTATGGAATTTATAAGCAAGTACAATTAAAAACAACGTATCCAGTTCTGAAAAGGTCCCGAAGCAAAACAGTAATTTCTTGCTGATAGTCCACCACAGTAGTTAGAGTGATGGAGTTGTACTGAGATCTCCCCCATCTCAAATATCAAAATGTAAACGTTGTTTGCCATCTGAACTTGTGAAAGTCATCCAAAAACATGAAGACACCATGTATGATATATTGAGACATCAAGGACAGGCGATCTGCCTCAGACTCAGCAAGCAAAGTGCCCTGTTTAAAGACTACACACAAAGGCTCATTTACTCAAAACAGCACAGTGGTCATGCTGTGATCATTAAGACGACAAATCCTGAGAATTATAGAAGTGTATACTAGCTGCTGTACCCTACAGTTAAAAAGTAATGTAAGAACTTACTTCTAGAAGATAAAAGCAGAGGTTGCGTCTTCCTTATTTATTCTTTTCAACAAGCATTAGGTCCTCATACCTAAGTACAGGATGTTGCCCTGGATGTACTATTTTTGCTTGGAGTATCTCCAAGACATACCCACAGATACAAATTTATATCATTTTTAATGCAAAAGATTTAACTGTAATAATTAATAATTATCAGTAAGTAGAAACATCTCTCATATCGCTCATCTGGAAAACTTTTCTGCTTTAAAACTTCCGAAGTCACACGTCCTCCTCTGTCATCTCCCCTGCGTGACAGGTGGTAGGTAGGCTTTTATGCCTGTTAAGCCATGACTGCAGCTCCCCAGCAGCTGGGCTGTTTGCTGTCTGCACCATGCTGCAACCTTTCATGGACTTCTAGAAGTAGACACAATCCAGCAGCAGCTGTGTTGCTGCTTAAAGGTGTTATACACCATTACTGCTTGCCATATCTCATATACTCCCTTCCCTCAGATCTGCTGTTTCTCAGTATGAAAAACATTGACCTAAAAATTAATAACAGAGAACAAAACCAAAAAGAAATGGTCATACTGTGGCTATTTACCAACTGGAACTATATCGTACTGAAAGTATAGTAGAAACAAAAACTTCAAACTTCCACCCATTTAATCTTCAAGCACATTTAACAGTCTTTTTGAACAAGGTATTATCACGCTGTACTTGAGTTTGGACTGCCACTCTATAATCCTTCTGCCAGTGTCCCCCCAACTCTTACTTTTGGTAGCACCACTGGAAACCAACCATCTAGCTTCACTCACACTGGCTATTCAAACCAGCCCAGCTATCAGAAAAAAAATAATCATGTTGTCTGTAAATTCTGCAGAACATAACCATCAGCAAGCCAAGCTAGCATAAACTGGCCAACCTACTCCAGTAAGTTACGTGCTTCTTTCATAGCTGTACGTGCAAGAGAGCCGAACACAATCCCCTGCTAACAATATGGTCCTAGTATTTCTTATATTTTTTTGCCATTAGGAAATGCAACCTGAGTATACCAGAAACTTTCAAGTAAAGTTCAGCTACCGAGTCATTTGGCCTGTTCTCCGACAAATCCCTCTCTGCAAGCACAGACTCTTAATAACCACACTGGCAAGTTAGAGGTACATACCAGGTGGAAAAGTATGTTTCATTCTATAAAATAAAGTTATAACAGCAAGCTAAGACCACCACTTCATTGTTAAAATATAACTGTCTGGATAGTGGGGCTGATGGTATAATAAATAAGCAAGCAGGAGGTAGCTAATAAAGAGCTCTCTCAGAGGCTTTTGAACACTTCAAGATACTTCAGAAACATCAAGCCCCAAGAGAAATATTCACAGACACTGCCCGGAAAAAAAGTCTGATCCTACAGGATCACTTTATCTTCAGAGACTGGTACAAGCCAAGTAAGAGACAAGGCTGAATGGTCTATTCATTCTGAGTTTTAAGGAAAGCCTAGCATCTTTCTTTTTCTAAAGAAAGCACAGATGGTGCACTCTGTGGCGCACTCTGACAGACAGAGGATATTATTTCATACTAATTTGTTCAGCAGCCATTCCAGTTTAAATGCTTTCTGTTTTTCAGCTTATTCTCACCTTTGCATCACCCTTCCTCTATGACAGTTCAGGCAACTGTGTAGTGAGAGATGGACTGGAAATCCAATGCCTTAAAAATCCCAGGGGAAAAAGCCCTACAAGAAGATCAGGACCAGTTCTGGTTCTTCATGCAGTCACACAGACCACTATGCTGGCATAGCTCAGAGAATGACATCAGACTGCTGGGGTCTGCTTGAGCCAAATTAAGCACCCCTAACATCACCTTTTTAAACCACAACCAGAGTTGTAGTTTATCAAACTCCTTAACTCCATTTTCACCTCTAATTGACTTCTTAACTCCCTGTCTCCATTCAAGAGCTGAATTAATTCCAGCTGCACAACCCTATGAAAGTATAATTAGCAAGCTGGAGATGGAAACACATGGCTTCTCCTCCCTCAATGTTATTTGGTTCATCAGTTCCTTCAATCTTTGCAATTACATTGTCTGCTTCGGGGTTTCACACCAAACTCTCAGCTCCGTTCCTTTTAATGTCACCTGCTTTACGCTAGCAGTGATGACATAGCACCTGGCTGACACCAAAGACATCACATTCTTATGAGGTAATAGCCCTAAAACATCCTTATAATCTACTGTTCAAGATGGAAACAATACACATACTATAGGTTATATAATGAGCTACAATGTGTATGTTCATTTAGCCAGAGAGGCTTGTTCGGGAGCTGGTAATGTAAGGATTTATAAAGTGGTTTTTTGGGGGGACTGCTGGCAGTCAGTTCGTGTGAAGTCTGCCTCAGAACCCCACGTGCCCTAGGGTTCAAGAAAGCCCAAAACACACACAAAACCCACTCCTGCAATTACTGTACTGTTCAGAGTACAGCATTAAAAGACAAAATCTGATTTTTAAAAAATCTAGTACTTTTAGAAAAAGTTGGTCAATTATCACACATAAGAGTTGTAGTTTTCCCCCGAGGAACAGTTTATATAAACAAGTCAGTAATTAAGAATGCCCACTCTTTCATATCTCAGTATATTACTACCAGAACTAAGCAACATTCCAATTATATAGTCTGACAGTCAAATCAAAGTATGACTGACTTTTCAAAGGAAGAATGGATTGAAAGCAGACAGCAAGTTAATTTATATAAGCATATGCTATAAAGATAAGTGTACTAACTAACTACAATCTTTAGAAAAGATTCTCATTAAGGACAGCTTGAGTATACCTAGTAAGCAAAGAACACACCCCAGGTATGAGTTTAAAACCACAGTAAAAAGATGTATTTCTGTTATAGAATATAAGAACTTAAAAAGAGTGGTTTGCCAAATGCGTGGAAAGCAGGCTTTTTCAGAGATCTATGCTAGGAAGTAATAAGAAAAATGACTATGGTGAAGGAAGCTCTTCCACTTACCTCTAGCTCCTTCTCCCATTCAGAGCCTGTCCCACTCTACAACATTACAGAACACAGTCTGAGGAGACTACCAGCCTTCAGCAGAAGCAAAACAGCACCACTCCTCCAAGACCTGGACTTGTATTATGGATTTATAAGCAGGACTACAATGGTCAAAAATTAGGGCATTAACAAGTGACAAAACTGTTCTCTAATACTTCTATTCAGGCAAATCATCTTCCAGCTAAAACTTCTCTTTCCTTCAAATATCTACTTCCTCATACACAGCTACCATTTTTTAAGTACCTTCAGCTGAGTTAGTTTACTCATCACTCCCATTTATTTTAGCAGAGTGGTAACTATGTTGCATTTTCTATACTAAAAGTAAACACTTTCCATTTCCCTTCACAAGCACTTCTACCTGATCAAGGTATAAAAGGGAACAAAGAATAACAAAAATATTCATTAAAATGCATTTGAATTTGAGATAAGCCTCCTATCAGTGCCAGCAGAGCCTCCTATCAGTGCCAGCAGGGCCTTGGAAAGCGGGTGCTGATAACCTGGTGCTAGGCTCAGCTCAGCACTAGCTTGCCGGGTGATCTCGAGCAGGCTTGTGGTTTCCCCCTCTGCCGTCCTTTTATGCAGGGGGAGACACAGACAAAGCTTCAACAGTAGATTACTACAGTTGCTTAATGAAACTAGAATATCACAATCTTAAAAAGGCAAGTATTGGAAGTTAAATATATCAATATCATCTACTACAGGTTATTTATTTTTTCCCAGTTCTGTAAAAATTTGTTTAAATAGCAATGTTATAGATGATGACTGTCACTTTTTGCACATAACACTGAAGAAATGAGCCTAACAAAGCTGTATTTCCAAAACTGTGCTCATGATTCTATGACAACACCCTGTTTCTTAAAGGCAGCAGATTTAATATAGCTACAACTTCTACTGGTAATATTTTTAAGACAACGATATGAACCCTCAAGAGAAAAATAAATTAACATTCCCCAATGTTTATTAAACAAAACTTTATCCACAAAATCAATATACTTCTCTGTATGTTTCCCATGCAGTTAAGACCAACGACTAAAT